CCTCAAAAAGTTAAACACAGCATTACCACTTGACCCAGCAACTCCATTCGTAAGTATATACCCAAGAGAAATGAACATATATGTTTACACAAAAACTTGTGCACAAATGTTCACACCACCACTATTCCTAATAGCTAAAAGGTGAAAACAACCCAAATGTCCATCAACTGAACAATGGAAACACAACTTGGTATATCCATACAACGGAATATTATTGAGCAGTAAAAAGGAATGAAGTACTGATATATATATATATATAAAAAAGCCTTCCCCCCACCCCCGCTCCCATTGTGGCAAATAGAGATTTATTACAACATGTCTTGATGAGCCCTGTTTTATATATATAGGTGTATATATATATATATGTATATATATATATAAAACAACATGGATGAACCTTGAAAAACATCATACTAAGTGAAAGAAGCCAGTCACAAAAGACCATGTACTGTATAATCCTATTTATATGAAATGTCCATAACAGACAAATCTATAGAGACAGAAAGTAAATTAGTGATTGCCCTGGGCTGGGGGGATTTGGAAGTATTTGGGTGTGGGGGGAGGGGGTAACAGCTAAAGGATGATGAAAAATGTTCTAAAATTTACTGTGGTGATGGTTGCATAATTCTGCAAATACACTCAAAACTAGTGAATTGGACACTTAAATGTGTGAATTCTATTGCACATGAATTACATCTCAATAAAGTTGTTACAAAAAACAAAACCAAAAAAGTCTTCATAAGGTCTGAATTTAGGCTATATTTGTGGGGAATGTAAAAGTTTCAAAAGATGTTAAGGTAGAACTTCCAGGGCTCACCAAGACATGCTATGATAAGTCTCTTTTTGTCACAATGGGAGAGGGGGATGGAGGTTTCAGATCTTGCTAAAATGTAGATTCTAAATCAGCAAGTCTGAGGTACAGTGTGAGATTCTGCTTTTTGTAACCAGCTCCCAAGTGATGCCAATGCTGCTGGTCTGCAAACTACACTTTGAGTAGTAAGGCTATAGTTATATATTTATCATGCTGAAAAAAGTAAAAAGTTATTTAGGTTCTCCAAAAGATAACAAAGCCTAGAAATTTAAAGTTTTGGTTTACTATGATATTTTGGCCAGTAAGATGAGTAGGGAAAAGTAGCATAATTACATACTCATATAGGAAGATACATGCATATGTAAATTATACACATATACATGAATAAATCTACTTTCCCCTCTCATTTTACTGATGAGAACGTATTGCGTGAAAGGAAGAAGCGAGAAGTTTAATTTCTAGGTTTTGTTACCCTTTTGGAAAACCTAAATATATAAACACAAACACACATACACACATATGATGTTTATCCATTTATCACAGGAGTTAAAATACAGTGCTCTAATATTTCTTAAAACTTCATGTGAATCAACAATAATCTCCATAAAACTTTTAATTAGAAAAAATACAGTGATCATGCTATTCCATCACCATATTCCTTTAGAAGCATTTCGACTAAGTATATATACTCATCTGTATTGATAATACAATTTAAATGTACTGTAAGCAACAATACAAGAGGAGTGAATATGATGTACCAGGTCAACACATAAAGCTACAAACACAGAATCAAAAATATAATCTTAATTGAGGTGGGAGTTTTTTAGTTTATAGCTGACATTAGCTTGTTAATACAACAAATATTTATTATTTATCATCAGTTCCAGAAGAACTTGACAAACATTTGTTGACTCAGTCAATCCAAGAAGCATAAGATAGTCTCTACAATCAAGAGGCTTACAATATAGTTGAAGGGACCAGGCGAAACAAAAAAAAGTTAATTAATAGTGTAATATACGCCACAAAGCAGAATATAATTAGGTTTCAAATGATTGCTACATACCTGGGGACCATTTGTAAAATGTTTACATACATATAGGTATACACATACAGGTATATATATATACACACGTATACGTGTAGATTTATGTATATAAATACACAAATCTGTAACTGAATTGACTTCATACTCATCAAAAACCAGTTCTACCAACTCCCTATTGAGAGCTCCACCTTCTAGCCTGGTTTAGAAAAGCATCGTCTATCACCCACGTAGGAAAATGAAGTTGTGTTTTCAGACACTGTGAAATACCACTAAGCAGACAGCCTATAACGACTTGGTCCGTTGTTCACTGTTCAATTACATAATGCACTTCATTCAGGAAGCAAACCTGAAGCCCTTCAGGTCCCTCTACACTCACAATTCAAATTATATACAGCCTGAGTCTAGGCAAGAAGGCTCGGTGATCCTTGAGAAATCCTCGCAAGGTACCGCTTCCATTTGAACGAAAACTCGCTCAAGCGAGGAATCCAGCCAAAAAAAGGGAAAAAGTGAATTGATGGCAAAGATAACCAGGGATGCACAAGGTCATACCGGAGTGGAAAGGATCCCGGGACTGGGGGGCGGGAGGCGGGAGGGGGGAGGAGAGAAGGGGAGAGAAAGGGAGTACGCTTACTTACTTCTTGTTGTCAGTGAAGAAGCGTGTCTGGAGCTGAGCCATGGCTTGCCTACGAAAACGTATGGGTAACAGACAACCGGCGCTTTGGCCTCTCAGGACTGCAAAAAGAGGCAGCTCAAAGTTAGACCGCACGTGTCAGAGAAAAGCAGCAGTCGAACACTGGGCTTCCGCTTTCTTTCCTCGGGCCTCCTCAGCCAGGAGGCACCACGAGGCTTCTCTTCCACAAGGCCCAGCCCACAAACATCAACTACCTATTCCTAGATTTAGGAGTCATCGATTAGTAAAGCATAGTCTTAAAGGCGGTGCGTCCCTTTAATCTGTCTGTATTTTTAAAAAATATATTTAAGCTTACAATCGATTGTGAAGATACAGAGAGGCCCGATTCAAATAGGCTTCTCCTCTCTCTCTCTCTCTTTTTTAATTTTAACAGGTTATCCTCAGTCCCGATAATTCAAAGACAGCTCCTAGATACTACAACCCCCAGAAAGCAGCGCTTCTCACACACTGTAACCACTGGGTATTGTAGTCTTTTTTCCCACGCTGCCCTTAGGCTATCTTATTTGCATTAAACCTTCCCGACTCCAGCCAAATTATCTATTATATTTCCTCTGCCTTCAGCTCTTCACTAAAGCCTTTCCAGGTTTACTTTTTCAAGCATACTCCCAATCAGACTCTCAGGCTACCGAGATTTTTCTAGGGTTCTCGACACTAGCTTCAGGCTTTAGATCCAGGTGAGAGGCGGGGATACGAAAAAAAGAACGAATCAGAAGGGAAACTAGCGACGGTGGCTGATAGTGGTCTTATCTCAAGCGACTGCGCTGCGCGCTCCGGGAGGGGCGCGCGTGCGCACTGTGCTGGTCTCCATGGCGGGGCCTCGGAGCCAAGACGAGGTTGAGTAGACTCGTTTTGAATTTTCTCCCCTCTGCTCCAGCACTTTGTGGACTTCCCTTCTCGCCCTGTAGGGTGCTCGGCGGCGGCGGGACTGGGGGAGTCGGAGGTTTGGCAGAGCTGTCCGCGCCGACGGACGGGACGCTGCTTCCCAATCCCCCTTTCTTCCTGCTGCCTCCTCCTCCCGTCACCTCCTGACCCGCCCGGTCCCTGAGCAACCGCCGGCCCCCGCCCCTTGCCGCTGACGGGCTTTGGTGGCGCCTTTCGCGCCCCGCCTCGGGCTGTATTCGGGGCCCCTCCTGACGAGGCCTACCGTTCCCCGCCCGGACGGGGTCCGTGGGCCCCGAGCCGGCAGGCTGGAGAAGGTGGAGGTTAGGTGTCTTAAGGAGGGCTGCTGAGCACAAGGGCGCACCACCACGGAGGAGGACTCGGACCCCCTGGCCGGGAGCGCCCGCTGTGTGGTCCTATGTGCCGCCCCGCATTTTAGGGTTCCTTTTTTCTCTTTATGAGCCCCTTTATACCTTCCTTTTAGAAGGGGAAAGGCGTCCTCCCACACCTTCTCCCAACGCTTTTTGACTTTTTTTTTTTTTCGTCTTGAAGTTACCCAAAGGCCTATGTCTTATTCTCAAAAGGTCCCGAGAATAATTCTAATGGAATTTAGTTGTTTTTCTGAGGGAGGATGGTTGGAGAGATACTACTCAGCTCTCCTAGTTGCTTTTTAAGGCGTTCGCCAGAAATCTTTCAAGAGGGGGACTTCTTAAAGAGACGGCAGTTTAGAGTAAGGCAGAACTGGATTGCAGAATTTGGGGCAAAGCGGTCTGTGTGCAGGTGAAGATAGCTAAAGCTTTCCTTTGTTACGTTGCTTCAAGATGTACAACAGTTAAGTAGACATATGATATTTAAGTCAACCATAGATTATGAGAAGGGATTTAAACAATTGTAAACGTAAAATAATCTGTTAATAGTGCGCAGTGACAATGAAACTAAGACTATTTTCAATTTATTCACCTTCTTAGAATGCAGGCCGTGGAACCCGAATGCCTGGGTTCGAATCCTGCCTCAGCTGCTTATTTATTAGCCTCTCTGTGCCACACCTTGGTCAACTGTGAGATTAAGTGCCACATAGTAGATGTTAACTGTTTTTACCATCGTTATCCTTTAGATGTCAGTTTAACTGGGAGCTATGGCAACATGAACAAGTAAGAAAGACTAGCTTAATGGTTAGAGGAGTAAAAAGAGAAAACGTCTGTGCTGAGGGCCTAGGAAAGGATTGGGCTTGCAAATAGAAGCCATGGTTATTTAACCATGTGATTCATTGTAATTGTGAGAATTGTATGCATAAGTTAGACCACCTGAAGTTTGAAACACTTTTTTTTTTCTCTTTCTTAATTGAAGTCTTGTTATTTAATCCATATATTTTGAATCTGGTAGAAGTAAAAAGAAATTTGACAGTTTCAAACATCCTTTGCTTTTAATCATAAGTAACTTTTGAGTTACAGCAGTAAAATTGTCTGAATTAAAATTCATAGAACCTGAAATAAAACTTCTAATAGGTTCAACAGGTAATTTTTAATTGTTAATATATCATTGGTTAAAATATATTTTTAAATGTGTAATCAGTAGATTAATTCATTTTTAACTATCATTAATTTGAAATTTATCAAAATAAGAAAATACTGTACCTGATATTCAATACAGGTTGATCCTAATTCGAATGGAAAAATTTTCTATGATCAGTAAGATACAGAACTTAAATATGTGCTTAATAAGATAAAACTTCAATTTACAAAGCAGAAATGTTGAATTCACTAAAATACTCTTCATTTGACTGAGACCTTTAGTTAAGGGAAAATTAGTTAACAAGCATTCCAAGATACCTGAACACCTAGTATGATGGCTTTGGTGTTTTTTCAACAGTGGCTTATGTGTTGTATTTCGTGTTCCCTCTATGTAATACCTAAGAGTAATTAGTATTTTTACTCTGAGTGTTTTTCTTAACTTTGCTTAGAATATTAACTTCAAGCTTTTGGTTCTAGTGATTTCCTACATGATTCATTTACTAGGTTTCTTACGAAGACGCATTATCTGGAGAACTACAGCTTGGAAAATGTTTCTCTTTATTGTAGGTTTTTTTTTTCTGTATGTAATGGCATGGTGTAGTATGATATAAAGACAGTGTGTGGGCTTTGGAGTCCTAATTGGTTTTGGTGATTTTTTCCTACTTAGTTTTGAATCTGAGCTCTAATGTTCTGTGATCTTAACCAAGTTACTAGACAGCTTTGGTTTTCTTATCTATAAATAGATAATAAGCTCTACCTTAGAGTCATTGTGAGGATTAAATGAAATAATTTGTAAATCCCTCAAAGAGCAAAGAGGTAAAAAGAGGTATGTATGTACAGGGTAAGAAATGGGTAGAAACCAAGATTGCAGGGAAGTTTATAGAGAGGGCAAACCTTAGATAAAGGAAAAGAGACATTGTGAACACTAGCTTAAAATTTTTTTCACTGAAAAATGAAAAGTTGAAATAGATTGTTTATATATATTTGCATACATTTAACATTTTGATGTTGATTTAACTAACACAATACAACTTGCAAAACCCATCTTTTAAGAAATAAATTACTCTATAAAATATTTGTGAATTAGGAGTCTTCATTTAATTTTTGACACCACTGATTCATAGCAATTTTGTATACATCATAGAAGGAACATTGTGTTGTTTACCTACCCTAAAAGATGAGGGAAATTTTATTTTCTAAAGTACTTTTGAGCAGTATTTTTTAATGTAGTTAATAAGGTCAGACACTGATTTTAAATATAAGATTTCAATATCCTTTAAATCTTGAGACATTAACCAAAGTGCCTAGAATTAAGAGAAACTCTAAACTTCAAGTGGCTTCATCCTTCAGTTAGCCTGTTTGGGGATTTACTCTTAGATTATTGGTTTTAACAGATTAATTTTACCACACAAAAGTCTATCGGGAAAACTAAAAAAAGAAAAAATCAAATATTAAGACAGTTTTTAAGAAATTACAGCTGAGAATTACCTTTAATGTTTTGAACAAATAGATTTGCTGTTGAACAAAATCAAAAAACAGCAGTAGCCCCAACTTGTTCTACAGAGATTTGAGTAACTACAGCCTGACTAGTGTGTTCCCCTCTGCCATGTGTTCAATATGTATAAACAATAAAAGCCCTTTTTTGCTATAAATTAAAACATTGAACTTCTAATTCTTCCTAATCTTTGCTTTAGGTATAAGGTAAAATTCACTTTTTAAAATGTGATGTGAAACATTCTAGAAAGCAGTTTGCCAGCAAAATTTAATGGCCTTAGTATGTTTTCTGAACTCCAATTATTACTAACCCTCTGGGTTATATATTTAATGCTTTCTCTTTTCTTTCTGTTCTCTTTATCCAATCCCAATACTACTTAAGAAATAAGCTTATCAATTTAATTCTAGGATTTTATAGGGGATGGGATATGAGGAGGGAAGCCCTTATTTTCAAGCTTCTGTGGCTCCAAAATATGTTCAGTTAGTAAATATTTTCATTGTGGAGAAAAATGCAATTTACTGTGGACGTTTTTGTTTCTGTAGTAGTTACAGAATGGGAGAGTTGAAACAAGGCCTTAGTCCAAATCCCCAACACCGGTTAAGTCACCAACCCCTGGACACATGCAGTCTTCCATAAAGACAGTCCTAGTCTTTACTTCACTTTAACCGAGTCAATTGCTGGGTAAACTATACCAGGCTGGTAATGGCTATTTTATAGTAAAACCTGCAGAACAAAATCTAGTAGCTTGCTTTATGTGTTGGAAAATAAATATACATTGAATACCTTCTCATTACAGAAAAAATGCTGCTGTGAAGACATAGTTATAGCTTTCACATAACTGAAGCCCCAACCATCATGATTTAGTGCCCCCCAAAGGAAGAACTTCAGTGGAAAAGAGAGGGCATTTCTGGGGATAGTAGAATGCTTGAGACCTGAATTTAAACTCAAGCTCCTTCATGAAGGTAATAATTTTATTTTTAACTGATAGAAAGTAACGGCTCTATAAAAGTTAACTATTGTCTATTACATATTAATGAAAAAGTCAAGTTACACTTTATATATAGGTACTTTGTTCCGTTTATGGTTACCAGTTGGAAAAGAACATTTTATACCTAGTTATTTAATCTTAATATCTACATTCTTTGGAACTTTACTTTGACATAGTTAATTGAAAGTTAGGGATAATAATTTATAGCATGCGCTGACATTGAGGTTAGGTGGGAAAACTGGGTATTTTAAGTCACCCTACAGTTGTCAGGATTGAGGAGTGTAATGCAAATTGATGGAAGACTTAGGGGAGGAAGGAGTAATACTTTTCACTTCATTCAAATTATTTTTTGAAAAGGATGTCTGTAACTTAAAAATGTACTTTTAATCTCCAGTTCAACAATGAGTTAGGTCAACAGATATTGAAACCCACCTTTCCATATAATAAACACTAAAACCTTGTTTAACACATAGTATAGAGGTACTGCATACTGAAAGGAAAATTTTGAGTTTTGAATTTCCAGAAGATAGTAGGAAAGAAGTTCTCTTTCTTCCATTTGCAGATTCCCAGTCTGGGCAAAGTTCTGAAGTAAGTGGTTTATATTTGGCAAGCTTCCTGTGTTATCCCACCCCTTCACTAGTGAACTTCCCCAGGGCATTCATCCTGCCTTCCCTGTTCACTGCAGCATCTACCTCAGGTCTGCAGAATCCCTTTTAGGTGCTCTGAGCCTCAAATGCACCTATTAGAATGGATAGAGGTTGCATTCTAAGTTAAACTTTTCGGGGTAACTGTTTTTAACTCATCTTAAAGGAAGAAAGCTATATTTATATAAATTTACACAAATTTGATAATGACTGATAATCTCTCCAGAATTTTTTCTTTTTAAGAAAAAATGCTTGATAACTCCAATGAAAATTTCATTGATGAAATTTCAGATAGGGTAAGAGAAAGTAAATAAAACGAAAAAAAATTTAGATCAGTAGGGATAATTTGTAATGGAATCAGGGCACCTACCAGGAAACTGAGAGTAAGTTTTTAGAATTTTTTTCCCCTAAGCCATTTTCACTTTTTACCTTTCTGTCCCGAGATCCATTTTTGGATCTGTTTACAGAATATTTTCTCAGGGGCTGTAATTCCTGCATAGTTAGAATGCTAGTTTTTTCGGGAGGTCAGAGATCTTTAGATTGCTTGCAGGAGGGCTTTTGTGTGTTAGGTACTGCCTATAATTAAATTTCAACCAGGAAAAGTTGAGAACAAAAATGAACAAAGAATTTCTTTTAGCATCTTTAATTTGTTAACCTACCAAAAAAAATATATTAAAGCCATGACTAATGAAGGAGGGAGGTTTGTCTGTTACCTTGAAAGAGTTCCCATTGTAATGATAAAGAGTGGGCTTTGGGATCAATGCATGTAGGTTTGAGTTCTTGCTCAGCCACCTAGTATATTTGTAATCTTTGGCTTTACTTAACTGCTTAAATCTTATTTCCTTATGTGTAAATTGGAGCAAGTAACTGAATCACAGGGTTGTTGAAAGGATTAAATAAAATGATATGTATAAAACACTGAGCCTAGTGCTTTACTATGGTAAGTGCTCAATAAATGAAAACCTTATAACCTTTACTGGTGAGCCTCAGTTTCCTTTTCTGTAAAATGTTGTTAATGGGTCCTATATCACAGAATAGCAGAGTGATTGTTAATAATTCTGGCTAATAATTATTAAGTATAATAAGCATTCAATAAACATTAAATTATTTTGTAGCTATGATAATTAAATTCATAGTCATGTATTCTATCATAATAGTGCTTATATTTAAAAATCAAAATAAAGTCTCAAAAATATTTCTAATCTTAATGTGATCATGTTTAGACAGTGAATATTTCAGTGTATTTAATACACTTTAAAAAATTAAGTTGCATTCTTTTTTTTTTTAATTTTATTTATTCATTTTTGGCTGTGTTGGGTCTTCATTGCTACACAAGGGCTTTTCTCTAGTTGCGGCGAGCGGGGACTACTCTTCGTTGCAGTGCGTGGGCTTCTTATTGCGGTGGCTTCTCTTGTTGCAGAGCACAGGCTCTAGGCACATGGGCTTCAGTAGTTGCGGCACATGGGCTCAGTAGTTGTGGCTCACGGGCTCTAGAGCACAGGCTCAGTAGGTGTGGCACACGGGCTTAGTTGCTCCGTGGCATGTGGGATCTTCCCTGACCAGGGCTCGAACCCATATCCCCTGCATTGGCAGGCAGATTCTTAACCACTGTGCCACCAGGGAAGCCCTAAGTTGCATTCTTGACAGCAATTATTTCAGTTTTAATAAGTCTCTCAGTAGGACTTTATTTTCAATTGGATCTAACTCTGTAAAAGTTTTCTTCTTGAATAGAGTTCTTTTATTTTTATACTCAGTGTACATTAGAGGTCAGTCAATAAATGATAGTTAAATGAATTTTAAAAGTCATCAAGATAATCAGCTATTAGAAACATAAAATCTAAGAACTGAATGGGATCTTTAAAAAACTAGGAATTGAAGTTCAGGGAAGTTAACATTGTTTTTTTTCATCAAATCTAGACTGACCCTGTGTTCTTTTTCTACTACATTCATCAGATGTGTGAATTTTTAAACTAAACAGTAATATTGAAATAGAACTTGTTAGTCATCTGAAAGTAAAATTTTTTGCAATTTTTCAAAGACAGTATAGAAAAGTATATTTAGGAGCTTTATACTAAGCCCAGGTAAGTTTTTATTACATCAATGAGATGACTGATATTTAACAGATTTTTGTCCTTAGGAACCAAGTAATTTATTTATAGATAGGTGAATTTTTTATCTTAGTTTGCATAATTATAAGTAGCAGAAATAATTTATTGAGTATTGACCCTGTACTAGGAACTGCACCAAGCTCTTTGCACACATTATTTTGTTTAATATAACGACCCTCTGAGGGAGATGCAGTATAATTGCCAATTTGCACATGAGAAAAACTAAAGCTCAGAGTAGTTAACTAATTTGACAAGTAAGTATGAAGCTGAAATTCAAACCCAGAGCATATGACTACAGAACACTGTCTTCAGCTATTTTATACATTTTTACTGACAAAACCCTCTCAGTTTTTGTTTTAAAAGTTGATGAAAAAATAATATATTTCTTGTCCACCCTAACTCCAACATTGTTCAGAGTATGGTAACTTAACCTAAAATTTCAAGATAATTTTGGAGTTCATATACTATGATTTGTTACTGGCTTCAGTTTACAGACACTCTGTTTGCTCCTTTTTTTTTTTTTTTAACAGACTATCTTTTTCTGAAAGTTTTAGATTTATAGAAAAATTGAGCAGGTAATATAAAGATTTCTTCCTTCCTTTCTTCCATATTCCTTCCGCTACCTTCTCTCCCCTCCATCCTAGCATGCAGTTTTCTCTACTATTAACATTTTGTATTAGTGTGGTCCATTTTCTAAAAGTTAATGAACCAATACTGATACATTATTATGAACAGAAGTCCATAGTTTACACTAAGATTCACTCTTTGTGTTGTACAGGTTTATGGATTAATGTCATGTATTCATCATAACAGTATCATAAAGTATTATCTCATCACCATAAAAATCTCTTGCGCTTTACCTATATGAATTCCCACATCCCCAACCTCTGGCAACTACTGATCTTGATATTGTGTCTATAGTTTTGCCTTTCCAAGAATGTCATATATTTGGAATCATATAGTATGTAGCTTCTTTCACTTATCAGTATGCATTTAAGGTTTCTTCTTGTCTTTTTGTGCCTTCATAGCCTGTTTCTTTTTGTTTTTGGCTGCCCCTCACGGCTTGTGGGATCTTAGCCCCCTGACCAGGGTTCAAACCCAGGCCCACAGCAGTGTAAGCACTGAGTCCTAACCACTGGACCACCAGGGAATTCCCAAGCCTGTTTCTTTTTAATCACTGAATAATAATTCATTGTATGGATATACCACAGTTGTTTTACCCATTCACTCATTGAAGGACATGTTGGTTGCTTTCAAGTTTTGGCAATCGTGAATAAAGCTGCTATAACTATCCATGCACGTTTTTGTGGAACATAAATTTGCAACTCATTTGGGTAAATACGTAGTAGTACAATTGCTGGATTGTATGGTATGCCTATGGTTAACTTTGTAAGAGACTGTCAAACTGTCTTCCAGAGTGGCTGTATGTACGGTTTTGTATCCCAAGCATCAATCAATGAGAGTTCCTGTTGTTCCACATATTTGGCAACATCTAATAGAGGGTTTTTTAAAAATATTATCCATTCTAATAGGTGTGTTATGATATCTCAGTGATGATTTAATTTGCAGTTTCCTTATGACATACAATGTTGAGCATCTTTTCATATGTGTAATTGCCATCTGTATATCTTCTTTGCTGCAGTGTATCTTCAGGTCTTTTGACCACTTTTTTTTTGTTTTTGTTTTTGCTGTACGTGGACCTCTCACTGTTGTGGCCTCTCCCGTTGCAGAGCACAGGCTCGGACACGCAGGCTCAGTGGCCATGCCTCACGGGCCTAGCCACTCCGCGGCATGTAGGATCTTCCTGGACCGGGGCACGAACCCATGTCCCCTGCATCGGCAGGCGGACTCTCAACCACGGCGCCACCAGGGAAGCCCTGACCACTTTTTAAATTAGGTTTTTTTCTTATTGTTGAGTTTTATGAGTTCTTTGCATATTTTGGATACAAATCCTTCATCAGATACATGTTTTGCAAATATTTTCTCCGAGTTTGTGGCTTTTCTTCCCATACTTTTGATACTGTCTTTTGCAGAGCAGAAGTTTTTAATTTTAATGAAGTCTTGCTTATTAATAATCTCTTTCATGGATCATGCCTTTTGTATATTATACTTAAAACATCATTACTATACTCATGGTCCTCTAGGTTTTCTCCTATGTTGTCTTCTAGGAGTTTTATAGTTTTGCATCTTACATTTATGTCTATGATGCATTTTGAGTTAAT